TTCCCTTAGATTGTCAAATTAAAAAATGACAACCAACACAATAGCTGCCTGGTGTGAATGAATCAAAATTATACCTATTTATTTTGTCAGATTGACAAATAATATATTTTTTGGTGTACTGCAGAATTTTAGTATTTACTTTATGTGTGCCATGAGATGAAAAAGGTTGAAAATCGCTGCTCTAGTGAGTCAGCCCTGCCTCATTGCCATGGTCAAGGAGATTCACAGTTCATGAGTTCATAAGGCCAATCCCAGGAGTGACCGTCAGGTGATCTAGCTAGCTGGTGTTGGTGAGCAATTTTCACTTCCACTCCTCCCCTATTTCACCCCTAATTAAACTCTTTTGCTAGAGAGAAGCAACTCTGAACATAAATGTCTTGAGTATCCTGAATATTCGGGGAGTGGAAACAGGGAGGCTGTAGAAAATGTGGGAAAAGCACTGATTTTAGAGCCAGATAGGTCTGGGTTTTCTTTTCTTGGTCAACAGAAGCAATGTTCTGACACCATATGGCAATGCTTTCATTGTTGTGGCTCTGAAGGTTTTTGTTTAGTTTTTGTGTTGTTGTTTTTAAGCTCTATAAAACATATGTTTATTTTCCACTGTCAAAAGTGCCAACAAGCCCTGACCGGTTTGGCTCAGTGGATAGAGCGTCAGCCTGCGGACTCAAGGGTCCCAGGTTCGATTCCAGTCAGGGGCATGTACCTTGGTTGTGGGCACGTACCCACTAGGGAGTGTGCAGGAGGCAGCTGATCGATGTTTCTAACCCTCTATCCCTCTCCTTTCTTCTCTGTAAAAAGTCAATAATATATATATTTTTTTAAAAGTGCCAACAAAATGAGTCTGCAATTAGAGACGACAGAAGACTAGCAACAGCTATTGATAAGACAGACACAGTATCAATGATAAATGCATGATGATGGAATCTATTACCAAGGCCTAGTTTTTAGGTTGTGCATAGAAACAGCAAGGAAAAAAAGACAATCCAAGTTCACTTTTGTGGAGATTGTGCTGTTGAGATTTATTTATTTATTTATTTATTTATTTCAATAATATCCATTTCCACAAACCTGGGAAACATCTTCATTCCCTATACCCATTTCATTTCATTTGCTCATTCCCTCATTTTGTTTATTAGTTTACTCAACCAGTATATACTATCTTCAGAACCCTTTGGCTGGATACTCTAATTTTTATTTTGTGAGTTTTTTATATGATTAACAAGATTTCCAAAAAGACTTGATTTTAATACCATAAAAAAATATAGCCCCATGAGTGAAAAGATCAAATAATTAAGTAATACACATGGCCAGTTTTTAAAATAGCCAGGGGATGTCAAGTAAGCATAAGGAATATAGTCAATAGCATTGTAATAACTATGTATGGTGTCAAATGGGTACTAGGCTTATGGAGAGACCTCTTTGTAAGATATATAAATGTCTAATCACTACGTGGTACACCAGAACTAAAATAATATTACTAGTGGCCCAGTGCATGAAATTCATGCACATTAAAAGGGAATTAATTAGAGGAAATATTTTAATATTGCTATTTGCCCTTTCTCTATAATAGAAGTGTCAGAGATGAAAGAAAATTAGTAAAATGTATATAAAATAATATATAAATTTATTAGTAAATAAATAATAACAAAATGATATAATAAGAACAGAGGCACTATATAAAAATGACAAAAACATGATATGAAAACAACAAAAACATATTAAGAAAACAACAAAAAACTGATATAAAAACAACAGTGATGCAAACAATGACTGATAAAGTGATTAAACTTATTCTAATATCTCCCCATACACCACATTAAGAGTGAAAACACTTTCAGAGTACTTGACTAATTTCCCTTGTGATGAAGTACTTAGAACTTTAACTGTAACATCACATGCTCTTCAAACTCGAGAGAAAGCAACATAACTGACCACGTGCAAAAACGGGTTCATGTAGGAATATGCCTACTTTGTCTAGTTTGTCCTTGTGATTTACTAATAGTCATCACAAATGCTGGCATTACGGGAAACCGTTGTCGAATCAATTTAAATGGGAGGCCAGTGTCAGATGGGGACAAATTCTTGGAATCAGAACAGCCTTTCCCTCAGCAGATCCTGTTAATACTTCAGCTTTGATAATGTTAGGTCGTAATCTTTTGATAATAAATCTGGTGCCATTACAAAGACCCCATTTACTATTGAGATTTCTCAATAGCATGATAATTGCACCCACTTTCAATTTTAATTTATGACACGGCATTCCCAAAGGAGTAATACTATTAAGAAATTCAATGGCAAAATTTTCCTTTTCAAAGACTGCTATCAAGTTTGCCATCTCCCAATTTTACTAACTATTTACTATAAGTAGAATCCTCTGTTTTCATATTTGTTTTAAGAGACAACTTTCTGAAACATCCCCAAACATTAGAGTACTTTAAGCTCATTTGTACTATGGCTGATCACATAGCATGTGGTACAATACTGAGACATTGCCGAAAATCCCCTCCGAGAGGGAGAGCTTTCCCACCAAATGCAACATCCAAATTCATAATTTCTCTTACTTAATGGCATTTATAGCATGTCTGGATGCCATGGTGCATTCATCAATAATGAGAAGTTGGGCCTTTTTAATAGTTTTAGCAACTTCACTCTTTATATCGAGTCTAGAAATTGAAGTTTCATTTAATGGAATTGGTAATTTATATTGGGAATGAAAGGTTCTTCCACCAAGAAGTAAATTTGCAGCAACTCCTATAGATGCTGTGGGTAAAACAGTACCACCACGACCTCTAATATAATGTATTAAAACTTTATAAAGGTATGTTTTTCCACTATCACCTGGACCATCCAAGAAAAAGCATTTGGGGTAAACAGTTTGATCTTCGATGGCTGAAGTTATAGTCTGAAAGGCTGCCAACTGTTCATCATTCAGAGAATTTATCAAAACCCCTGCCTGTCACCCTAACCAGTTTGGCTCAGTGGATAGAGGGTCAGCCTGCGCACTGAAAGATCCCAAGTTCGATTCCGGTCAAGGGCATGTACCTTGGTTGCAGGCACAGCCCCAGTAGGAGGTGTGCAGGAGGCAGCTGATTGATATTTCTCTCTCATCAATGTTTTTAGCTCTCTATCCCTCTCCCTTCATCTCAGTAAAAAATCAATAAAATATATTTTTTAAAAAACCTCTGCTTGTTGTCTCTCATATGATTCATCACATGTATTTGTATTCATTAATAAAAGATAGTCCAGAAGTTTGAAATGTGAACATTTCATTCCATGTAATGTGAATACCTCTTGAATTTCATTAAGTGCATGCATTACACAGTTTATACAGGCACCTTCACTTTGGTGTAATTTCCAACAAAAATCTTCAATAAAATGAGATTTATTCTCATCCCATAATTTGTCTGCATCAGAAGGACATCCAAACACACATATGTATGCAAAAAGTCCCACTAGCTCTTGCCTGCATGTGCCTCCATTGGGAGCGGCCTCCGCCTCTGAGGCAGCATGATGTTAGCGCTGGGCAGACCTGCACACCCCTCTGCTGGGGGCAGAAGTCCCCGTCCCCGTCCCAGTCCATGAGCTCCTCTGTGCACATAGCCCATTGACCAGTCATGACTGGGACACTGTTAGGACCAATTAACATATTACCTCTTTATATATATAGATACATCAACTGTAATTGGAAAAAAAATACTTAATTTAAAAAAATAGACTCATGAAAGGAAAGGCTAACCCCAAATGTTACTCTATCCTTTTCCCACACCTTCCTCAATTTCCAGATGTCAGGAATTAAAACCAGTTCATAAACTCTCATTGGCATATCCTGTCTGTACAAACTTTTGGGAATCAGAGTCTCCAGGGAACCAAACACTCTCCTAAAATCACATGACTAGAAAATTTCCTCAAGAGACAGACAACTGCAGTTTCATTTAGATCTGCCTTTTCTCCCTTTTCACACCCTGACCATACAGGGCATATACACCTGGACATCCAGCCCATCAGTCTCTACCCTTAGTCATTGTACTGGCTACTGCACTGTCTCTCTATAAGAGAAAAGCTCTTGCTTTCAGAGAAGATCATGTTTGCAAACTTTTTACTCTTGGGGATGCAGTGATGAGAAAAGTTGTGAGCAGAGAATTGGGGAGAAAGAGTAGACTATTGAGTTGAGGAAATATCAGCTTGCCATTCTCAACTCCTCTCTCTGATGCCCATTTCTTACCTTCCTTTCTCCTACCTCTTGGTTTCTCTCCAGGCGCCTCCAAAGTAGTGATGGCTCTCCAGAAGACCCTTTCATCGCTTCTGCTCTTGCTGCTGGCCCTGCTGGGGCTGGGACTGGTGCAGCCCTCCTATGGCCAGCCCATGTACCAACGATTCCTGCGGCAACATGTGGATCCTACAGTGACAGGTGGCGATGTTAAATACTGTAACTTGATGATGCAGAGACGGAGAATGACTCAGTTTCGTTGCAAGCAATTCAACACCTTCATCCATGAAGACATCTGGAACATTCGTAGCATCTGCAGCACCACCAACATCCAGTGCAAGAATGGCAAGATGAACTGCCATGAGGGTGTAGTGAGTGTTACAGATTGCAGAGATACAGGAATTTCCCCAGCCCCCAACTGCAGATATGGGGCCAGGGCCAGCACTAGGCGTGTTGTCATTGCCTGTGAGGGTAACCCCCCGGTGCCTGTGCACTTTGACAGATAGATACTACCCTGAAGCGGTTATGGCTCCGTGGTTGGCCTTTAGCTTACTCCTTGAATAGCAATGAGTAATGCATTTGAGCTGTCTCAGGCTCTGTCTTCTCTGGTTATGTCTACTTCTTTTTCTCTATATAGCCAATTCTCTTAAATGTATCAAAGAGAAATGGAGGCATAAACCTAATTTTGGTGTGGGCTTTTCTATAATAAACTTTTCAGTAAATTCTTCTGCTTCCTTTTATAATACTGGTCAGCTTAATCCTCTCAGATCCTATCCTCTGGAATGTAATCATTATATGTATGATATAGCATTTCAAGTATTTTAAGGTGCTTCCATCTCAGTTATCTCATTTTAATACCATCACACCCTGTAATGTTGATGTCGCTACATATAGGGCCCAAAGTTAAAGGATTTGCTGAAGAACATGAAGTTAGTGGAAAAGCTGAAGCAAATTAATCCACTTCAACTGGCTTCTAATCCAGGACTTTTTCTACTTCATCACAAGGAGTGTTTTGAAAGTATCTGCTTTCTGGTATTCCCAGCAGTCAGCTGTTGGGGGAAGCATTAAAAATTTAGAAATATAAACTGGCAAAATGAGAGCTCTGTCTGTAATTTGGCAACCTTGTTATGTTTGGGTCTAATAAGATTATGATACAAAGAATATTTTTTCTCTTCCCAAACTTTTCTATCACTGTAGCAAGTCAGAGTATTAACAATGCACTAGACTAGATCATTAAGACTCATTCATTCTTCCTGACTGGAAAGATTTTTCATGTTTTTCATTTAATAAAGAACTCAAGCCCAGCCAGCATGGCTCAGTGGTTGAGCATCGACCTATGAGCCAGGAGATCAACAGTTCAATTCCAGGTCAGGGCACATGTCTGGTTGCAGGCCAGTCCCCCTTGTAGGGCATGCAGGAGGCAACCAATCAGTGATTCTCTCTCATCATTGATGTTTCTATTGCTCTTCCTCTCTGAAATCAATTAAAATATATTTTAAACAAAAACTCAAACTACAGATATCTGTGAAGATGGTGCTATTGTTCTTGTGTGGGATTTTTTTTCTTCTACCCTCTTATTTTCTAGTTTATAAACATGCACCAACACCTTAATACCCTCATAAACTGGTCCATGAAAAAAAGCCTATAGGATCTATGACCAGGACACAGAAACATCTGTGTTACTTACTAAAGACAATTCTCACACCCCTCCCTTCTCCCTTTGAATATTTTGAAACAAATTGGGGAACAGAGATGTATGAAGACACCAGCAGCTAAAGAAGGGAAGTATGTATCTAAGAGTGTGTGTGCGCACATGTGTATATGTGTGTGCGTTTGCTCGCGTGCCTGCGCACGTGTGTGTGTGTGTGTGTGTGTGTGAAAGGACTAAACTGAAAATACTTAAATTATAGCAGATATACATTGTTTATATTGAAGGTGTGCAACCTGATTCAGTATACATATGCATTGTGAAAGAATCACTACAATCAAGCTAATGTGACTCCCTTTTGGACTGTTTTCACCTCCATTCTTTTTAACACTACTGAACATCATAGCTTAGCCCAGCCAGTTTCTACTGAATGCATATTGCTTTCACACCATTGTAAAGTCAAAAAATCATAAGCATGAAAAATCATGAAGAAAAGTGTGAGTCATGTTTGTTAAGCCATGACACCAACAAAAACTTAATAAATAACCAAATTTCACTTTCAGCCTTTTCCAGAGATGGAATTATAAACCACTTAATTTGGAATTTCCTGATCAGCACTGGTAAGGTAATCTGCCTGATAAGACCCCCTGCCTTCCCCTGAATGAAGCTCTCCTGCTTAAAATAATCCAGTCTTTAAGTACATAGTCCCACTGTCTTTCTGCCTATAAAAACCTTCCATTTTGTACAACTCACCAAAGCACCTTTCTAGTTGCTAGATGGCATGCTGCCCAATTCCTGAATTGCTTAATACAGCCAATTAGATCTTCAAACTTACTTGGTTGAATTTTGTTCTTTATCTCCTACCCCCAGGGCCTTGCCATTCCTTTGTACCCAGAAGACTGTCTTTGATGTATGACCCCTTTGCTCCAGGCTCTTCTCAGAGTGACCCCCAGTGTTCTAGATGAGGAGATAAACAGGTGCACAGAGTAAGGCTGTCCCCTCTTCCTCCACCACCACTGCCAATCAGTTGGAACACTGCCCCTCCCACATCTATTCCTTTCTTCACTGCCTCAGACTTCTTAGCTCTAAGAAAAGGGAAAGGACACTGACTCTGCTCTTTAGATTCACACACTATTATCTATGGACCTGTGAAGGTGAGTATGAAATCTGAATAAGGAAAGTTAGAGTTAGAAGGGTTGGTACTGAGCATGGCTGGGGGAAAGGCCCAGGAACACTGGAATGGGCTTGCTTGACCTTCTAGGTGGTAAAGTTGAGAATGCAGTGACCTGAATTTAACTCAGCATTAATCTAACCAATTCACACCTCCCTTCTTCCACAATATTTTCAAGCATAATACATTGAAGCAGCTTAAATCTTGGTCTTCTCATCCTGTTTAGGCCTTTTGAACTAGGGATAGGGTGGCACCAATGAGAACCTGCCTATCCTTTGTTCTGTGCCTGACAGAGCACTGGAGATCTCCAAAAATGCTGTCACACAAATCCCATTAGACTCTCACAGGTCATAAGGGAGCTACTGTTAGGTTCATTTGAGGACACCAATTCTGAGATACTGAGAGTCAGGTTAGAGTTTCTGTAGGGCCAGGTTAACTCCTTGTGCTAACCGAGGACAGGGAGCTGGTTTAAAGGGGAGACTTTTTCAAACATCTCTTGGCCCTGATTTTGACCAGAGTAGCTCCTGTGAGGGCAGTTTTGATCTTGGTATTTGGTTGCTTAGAACACTGTTTCAAAACTGTATTTTCTTTATGATGGTATTCTTAATGGCAAATCAAGATCATTCAGCATGATTTAGGAAAATGGCCTCAGAGACGGCAAGTGGGCAGTCAGAAGTGCTACCATGTTTCAGGCAGGCATTGGGGAAGTGCTATGAGGAAGTCAAGATGAGATAAGCACCACTTGAAGAGTCCCTTTTAATTGCAGCTTGGGATTTCAGAGAGCCAAAGCTTCCTGCTTGGAAAATGTTTCCCAAGTCTACTCATCTTCTACATTCCCTTAAAGCAGTAGTTCTCAACCTGTGGGTCACGACCCCTTTGAGGGTCGAACGACCCTTTCACGTGGGTCGCCTAAGACCATTGGAAAACATACATAATTACATATTGTGTTTGTGATTAATCACTATGCTTTAATTATGTTCAATTTGTAACAATGAAATTGGGGGTCACCACAACATGAGGAACTGTATTAAAGGGTCGCAGCATTAGGAAGGTTGAGAACCACTGCCTTAAAGGGTGACAATCTTTTCTACTTCACAGACATAAAATTTAAAATAACATTCTCTTTCAGACACACTTTCTTATGAGAACCCATCTGGACTGTAAAACAGAGCTAGTTAGAATGCTCCTTGTTTTGGGTAAAGAGGTGTTTGGAATTCTCAAAATAAACTTCATCTATTTTCTACAATTTTGTGCTTGTCTCACTCAGGCTCTAGCATATTTTCAGTTCTTGAAAATGTTATTGTCTAATGAGATTTATCATCTTCTAGTTTGAAACCAAATGGTAAAAATGAGCCTAAATATCTACAATGGAATTTTAAGGTGGAGCTCAGCTCAGGGCAGTGTTGCAATTATGTTTTCCTCTCTTCCATGTAGACCCACAGGTGATCCTGGTGACTGAGATGTCCTCCTCTCTGAAGGTCCCAGGTCCTCTCTTGCTCCTGCTGTTCCCCTTGTGTGGGCTCCATGTACACAGCCAGAACCTTTCCTGGAGGGAATTCATGAAACAGCACCACCTGAGCACAAGCTGGGAATTCAATGAGTACAGATGCAATGATCTCATGAGAGAAAGAGAAGCTCCAAAAGACAGGAACTATCACATCTTCATCTATACCTTCTGGCACAAAATAGAGCATATATGCATCAGGAACTGGAGAGATCGCTACAGAAATGTATATATATGGGCCCAGTATCCCTTCAAAATAATCAAGTGTTACCGGAGGAATAACAAAAAGGGCTACAAAGAGCACAGGAGTTACAGCTACATTGAATTCCATTGTGGCATGAACGGGTTTGTTGATAGCATAGAGGACATCCGGTTGTTAGAGGTTATCAGTAGCCTCTAACCACATGCCCTGGTTTTAGTAGAGTGATGAGTGTTTCCCAAGTGGTAGGCCCTGCCCACATGAATAGCCCTTACTAATCACTACTTTGCATTTATGTGCCAATGTTTTCCAACCACTTAGAGTTATGTATCACAACTTTACCTATGTTGGTTCCCTGCCTGGAATATCCTTCTGTTATCATTTACCTGCTATATATACACACACACACACACACACACACACACACACACACACACACACATTAGAGGCCCAGTGCACAAAATTCTTGCAAGGGGCTCGGCTCTCGCAGCCTCGGCTTTGTCCAGAAGGTCGTCTGATCATCTGGTCTAATTAGCATATTATGCTTTTATTATTATCAATAATAATAATAGTATATATAATAGTATATATACTGAATCATATGCTGAATCATATATGCATATATATCCTAAATAATAAAGAGGTAATATGCAAATTGACCCCCACACCCTCACATCACAAGATGGCTGCCCCCACATTGTCACAAGATGGCCGGCAGGGGAGGGCAGTTGGGGGGGGACCAGGCCTGCAGGGGAGGGTTGTTGGGGGCGATCGGGCCGGCAGGGGAGCAATTAGGTATCAATCAGGCCAGCAAGGGAATGGTTAGGGGGTGATCAGGCTGGCAGGCAGAAATGGTTACAGGCAATCAGACAGGCAGGCAGATGAGTGGTTAGGTGCCAACACTCCCAGATTGTGAGAGGGATTTCCTAAACCGGCAGTCGGACATCCCCTGAAGGGTCCCAGATTAGAGAGGGTGCAGGCTGGACTGAGAGACACCCACCTACCCCCACCACCAGTGCACAAATTTCATGCACCAGATATATATTCAGCTCACATGGCATCTCTTTTTCACTAACCCAAGAATTTTCCTGGTATTGATTTCTTATACCTACCCAAGATGAATGATCCTCCCTTCACAATAAATTATATCATTCCAATGTGTGTGACATTTATATATGTTATATGTGCAGAGTATGTGTGGTGATTGGTATAAGTATTAGATATAGATTATACATGGGTGAGATTTATGCTGTGTGTAGTTTAAGGTATTTTATGTGTGTAATGTGCTTATGCATATGATGAGAATGTAAATGTTTATGTACTAGTTGGGGAAAAGTTGTGACCCAGCCATTGGTTGTATGACATGCTGAATTTCACTCAGATTGGGTGTGGGGATGGGCAGAGCTGATTTAGTATAACATGTACTATGGTCCTAGCTCATAGTGTGTGCTCTGTTACATTGGTCTTCTCCCTTTCA